CATTCTATGAAGCGACAGTCACCCTGATACCTAAATCACACAAAGACACAACAAAAAAAGAAAACTTCAGACCTATCTCTCTTATGAACATTGACGCAAAAATACTCAATAAAATACTTGCAAACCTAATCCAAGAACACAAAGATATCATCCACCATGACCAAATAGGCTTCATCCCAGGCATGCAAGGGTGATTCAACATACGGAAATCCATCAATGTAATCCACCACATAAACAAACTGAAGGAGAAAAAAACACATGATCATCTCCTTAAATGCCAAAAAAGCATTTGACAAAGTTCAACATCCATTCATGTTTAAAGTCTTGGAGAGATCAGGGATACAAGGCACATATCTAAACATAGTAAAGGCAATCAATATACAGCAAGCCTATACATCAAACTCAATGGAGAGAAACTTAAATCAATCCCACTGAAATCAGGGACAAGACAAGGCTGCCCACTCTCTCCCTACCTCTTCAACATAGTACTTGAAGTCCTAGCCAGAGCAATAAGACAACTGAAGGAGATCAAGGGGATACAAATCAGAAAGGAAGAGGTCAAAGTGTCACTATTTGCAGATGATATAATAGTATACATAAGTGACCCCAAAAATTCAACCAGAGAACTTCTTCAGCTGATAAACACCTTCAGCAAAGTGGCAGGATAAAAAATCAATTTAAAAAAATCAGAAGCCCTCCTGTATACCAAAGACAAAAGGGCTGAGAAAGAAATTAGGAAAACAACACCTTTCACAATAGCCACTAATAACATAAAGTACCTTGGGGTGACACTAACCAAGCAAGTGAAAGACCTGTTTGAGAAAAACTTCAAGTCTCTGAAGAAAGAAATTGAAGAAGATATCAGAAGATGGAAAGATCTCCCGTGCTCATGGATTGGTAGGATTAACATTGTGAAAATGGCCATCCTACCAAAAGCAATCTACAGATTCAATGCAATACCCATCAAAATATCAACTCAATTCTTTACAGACCTTGAAAAAAAAGATTCTCAGCTTTATATGGAGAAAGAAAAAAACCCAGAATCTCCAAAACAATCCTGTACAACAACAGATCATCTGGAGCTATCTCCATCCCTGATCTCAAGTTGTACTACAGAGCAATAGTAATAAAAACTGCATGGTATTGGCATAAAAACAGAAAGGAGGATCAATGGAACTGCATAGAAAACCCAGAAATAAACCCACACACCTATGAATACTCAATTTTTGACAAAGAAGCCAAAACCATTCAATGGAAAAAAAGACAGCATCTTGAACAAATAGTGCTGATCCAACTGGATGTCTACATGCAGAAAAATGAAAATAGATCCATATTTTATCACCCTGCACAAAACTAAAGTCCAAGTGGATCAAAGACCTCAACATAAAATCAGATTCTCTAAATCTGTTAGAAGAAAAAGTGAGGAACAACCTAGAACTCATTGGCACAGGAGAAAACTTCCTGAACAGAACACCATAGCACAGGCTCTAAGAGCAACAATCAATAAATGGGACCTCATGAAACTGAAAAGCTTCTGTAAAGCAAAGGACACCATCATCCAAACAAAACGACCGCCTACATATTGGGAAAGAATCTTCACTAACCCTTTATCTGACAGAGGACTAATATCCAGTATACACAAAGAACTAAAGAAGCTGAAAAGCAGCAAACCAACTAATCCAATTAAAAAATGGGGAACAGAGCTAAAAAAGAATTCTGGACAGAGGAATATCGAATGGCAGAAAAACATTTAAAGAAATGCTCAACCTCATTAGCCATTAGGGAAATGCAAATCAAAACAATCCTGAGATTTCACCTTACACCCATGAGAATGGCCAAGATCAAAAACTCAAGTGACAACACATGCTGGAGAGGTTGTGGAGAAAGGGGAACCCTTCTCCACTGCTGGTGGGAATGTAAACTGGTACAACCACTCTGGAAATCTATCTGGCACTTTCTAAGACAATTAGGAATAGTGCTTCCTCAAGACCCAGCTATACCACTGCTAGGTATATACCCAAACTTTGTCAAGTACACAAAAGGGATACTTGCTCAACCATGTTTATAGCAGCTTTATTTGTAATAGCCAGAACCTGGAAACAACACAGATGTCCATCAACAGAGGAATGGGTACAGAAATTGTGGTATTTTTACACAATGGAATACTACTCAGAAATCAAAAAGGAGGAAATCATGAAATTTGCAGGCAAATGGTGGGATCTAGAAAAGATCATTCTGAGTGAAATATCCCAGAAGGAGAAAGACAAACACGGTATATACTCACTTATATAGACTTATAAGATATGACAAACATAATGAAATCTACACACTTAAAAAAGATAATCAAGAGAGCAGACATGGGGTAAGATGATCAATCCTCATTTAGAAAGACAGATGGGATGTGCATTGAACGTATGACAGGAGTCTACTGAGCTCATCTGAAAGACTCTAACTAGCAGTGTTTTCAAAGAAGATACAAAGACTCATGACCAAACCTTCGGCAGAATACAGGGAATCATATGAAAGAAGGGGAGTTAGTATGATGGGGAAAGGATAGGAGCTCCACAAGAACCAAATATATCTGGGCACAGGGTCTTTTCAGAGACTGACATTCAACCAAGGACCATGTATGGATATAACCTAGAACCTCTGCTCAGATGTAGCCTGTGGTAACTCAGTAACCAATTGGTTTCCCATAGTGAGGGGAACAAGTTCCTATTTCTAAAAGGAACTCAATGACTGGCTCTTTGGCCTCCCCACCCCCCAAGGGAGGAGCAGTCCTGTTAGGCCACAGAGGAGGGCTTCACAGCCAGTCCTGAAGATACCTGATAAAACAGGATCGGATGAATGGGGAGGAGGTCCCCCCCCATCAGTGGACTTGGAAAGGGGCATGGTGGAGGAGGGAGGGAGGGGGATTGGGAGGGAATGAGGGAGCGAGACACAGCTGGGATACAGAGTTAATAAAATGTAACTAATAAGAAAAAAATAAAATTAAATAAATAAAAAAGAGCTGTAACACTGAAAACTCTCCCTCCACTGCGGACCAGAGAGCTGTAACTCTGAGAATTTTTGAGAAGGACTTCTCCCCAAGGAGCCAGATCCTGTGGACCCCAGCTGTTCCAGGCTCTGCTTCATTCTTTCCAGCCTGGTGTGCTATGACACCTGGACAGCCCTGATGGAAGAAGCAGAAGAAGGCACCACATACTTTTTCTTTGTTCCTTGAGATTTTTATACATGCATACAGTGTGCTTTGAACAAATTCATCCTTCATTCTTTTCTTTCCAAATTCTCCCAGACTACCCCAACTTCATAGACTCTTTCCCAACTTCCTGTAGTCGTTTTTAAAATCCACTGGGTTCAGTTACTTTTCCCTTTAATATAATTTTTAAAAACAGTTCTTACTCTGGCATTACAAACTATTTCTGAATATCCATGACATGGAGAGAGTGGATCATTTGCCCTTGGTTTTAACTTCTCCATTTCTATAGCATTCTCTTTGCATGTAAACATGCTTTTTTGCTATTCCTAATTACTGTTTGCTTTTCTTAAAAAAATCACTTCTGCACATGGTATGTGCTCACTTATAAGTGGGTATTAGACCTATAGTACAGGAAAATCACACTACAGTCCATAGACTCAAAGAAGCTAAGTAACAAGGAGAGCCCAAGGGAGGGTACCAGAATGCCACTGGGAAGGGGCCATAGAATAGACAGCAGAAGTGGATAAAGAGAAGGAACTGGGCAGGAGATGGAATAGGGAGGGAAATAGGGAGAGGATCAGATGTATGGAGAATGGGGGTGGGAGGTGAGAGGGCTGGGAACAAGGGAAACAAGGGGGAAAGACATCTTGTTGTCAAGCTGGAGGCCTGCGACAAGGTAGGCTCTGGGTGAACACGAGTGTGACTCTAGCTGAGACTCTTAATAGGAGGAGAAAGGAACATGAAGACTGAAGAGACCACCTCCTAGCCAGGTAGGACTAGTGGAAGGAGGAGACCAACAATCCACCGACAAAACCTGTGATCCAAAAATCCTGCCTACAAAAAGTGCAGTGATAATGGAGGTACAAAGATTGAGAGAGAGTCCAAATAATAATTGGCCCAACCTGAGATCCACTCAATGATAGAGAGCCAGCCCCTGACACTAATAATGATGCTCTGTTATGCTTGCAGACAGGAGGCTCCAGCCAGCAGTGGATCCAGACAGATGCTGGGACTTGCAGCCAAGCGTGGGGCAGAGCTCCAGGGGTCCTGTAGAAGTGTTGGGGGAAAGATGGGAGGACCTGGAGAGGACAGGGACCTCACAGAAAGACCAAGAGAGACAACTAACCCATTTTCATTGGGGGCTTTCAGAGACTGAGACATCAACTAAGAAGCATGCAAAATCTGGACCCAGGCTCCCTGCACACAAGAAGCGGGGGGGGGGGGCACTGTTTCTAATAGGGACTCTGTTGCCTGCTTTTGGATCCCTTCCCTCTGGCAGCACTACCTCGCCTGGCCTCGGGGAATGAGGATAGGATCAGTCCTCGTGGGATTTGATTTGCTGGGAAAAGTTAATACGTGGAAAGGGGTTCCCCTTTTCTGAGGGGAAAAATGGAGGGGAAGGGAAAATGAGGGGAAGTGGAGGAGACTGGGAGGAGGAAAGGGAGGGGGCACCCTTGGGATGTAAAGTAAATAAACTTATATAATTTTTTTTAAAGTAGAAAAATATCACTTTCTTATTATTATACTTAACTGTTGGAAATTTCACTTGTATTTCCCAAAATGGAAACTCCAAACTCCTACCTCGCCTGGTGCACCATTAACCCCACAAAGGCACGCAGTATGTGCTCTGCTAGTATTTGCTCAACTGTTCATGGGGGGGATGGCCCACCTGCCCCAGCTGCCTATGAAGCACTTTCCATCTACAGGGTGGAAATTAATGACAGAGCCTCTGTGGTGACAGAGCTCAGCAAGGTGAGGGATATATAAGAGCCAGCCTACTAATTGCCACACCATGCGAGCAGGCTTGGGCTGTGCTTCCTGGAGCTTCTGACTATCGAGGCACTTTCTGATTTCGCTACACTGACCACTGCAAGGTAAAAGGCACGCTGCTTGGGAAGGTGTCACTTAGAGGAAAGCAACCTTTGTGTCTGTTGAAGCCTGCTTTGAGACATAGCTGCCGCTATTTTTGTATTCAGCATATTCAACTTCCATCTGTTTATAAGATGAAGTTATTAAGTTTTAAATGTTAAAATTTTAACCTTGTAACCTAGAAGTAGTTATTCATAACTGACAATAACAAACCCTGCCAGAGGACCTAGTTAACATACACCAACAGAGCCTGACAGAGGATCAAGCTGACCTTATATTTTACTCTGATTCAATGGTGTCATAACTCATCTACACACTGGGCTACACACTGGTTGCACTCTAGTTATCAGTGTACCTGGTTGCACATGGTTGCACTCCGGATGTACTTTGGAAGAACTTTACTACCTCACCTTGGACCAATCAGCTTAAAGGCTAGCTGACAATACTTTATATAATTAGCCAAAAACATATTATGCTTTGTATGCTTAGTATGTGTTACTGCCCTCCCCATGTCTTTCATTCAGTTTGTTCTATAAAAAGTCTGCCCTAAGAGCAGGTAGATGTCACAGCTAAGCTCCTAAGTCCTTATTGTGGCCCTGATCAATCAGCTTGGAAAAGTTGTTCAAATAAACCATCAATATCTAGCCAAGACCGGTGTCTGAGAGGTTTGCGTGGCACTTTTGGGGCTCTAACAGTATTATCTGTAAGGCTTATTTCAGCAAAACAGTAAAGAATGGGGTGTTATACTAGAAATTCTCTTGGTTTTTGAGCATTTGGAACTATTTTAAAGTTGACAAGCATCAGCAAAAAAAAAAATAATTACAGAGATACTTGTAAAATACATTTTAAATTTTCTTCAAAGGTTCTAATTTAAAATCGCATCAGTCAGAACTGAAGAAGGCAGCTTGACTTCAGTGCTTTTTCTCTTCAGGGAACCCGACAACTGATGTGCATCTCAAAGCTGCCAGCTGCTCTCCTCATCCTCTCTGTGGCACTAATCCACCTGAAAGCTATACCTGTGGGCAGGTTGGTACCCTGAGAATCCTACTTCTTTAGAAAAGTGTGAGGAAATTAGAATTCAGCACTATGTAACTAACAGCCCTCATAATGCTCAATTTGTAAACAAACTTTCCTATGGGTAGTACTTGAACCTGAATGATTTCCTAATTCTGTGTTCTTTCTGACACATAATTTCCTAATTTCCTAATTCTGTGTCAGCACCTGAAGACTGACATGCAGAACTTTCAACAGACAGACAAAGTTATCAACATTTGTCTGGAAATATGTTAGAATTCACAGGGGCAAAGTCAGAGTACCATGACAGGGAAACTGAGAGGCAGACATTCTTACTGTTTGAACATAATACTGGAAGAAACTGATGATTCCAACAAAATGTCTGTTTTAATTTCAGTTGGAATTTTGGTGCATATTTTACAGGTTTTTGTGGGGGGGGTTGTTTGTTTGTTTGTTTACTTCTTCATGAGGTATAGGAGTATCCACACTTCTACATCTTCTTCTGGAAACTGAAGTTATAAAATAAGAGGCACATGAAAAGTTTTAAGAAGTTAAATTTCAGGATTAGTTTAAAACCCATTTGCTATTTGAATGTCTACCCATAACTGTGCCCTACACAGTTATAAGAACATATTCTACACAAGATGTCTGATCATCTGTAAATGTAAATTAGTAACACATGAAATATTATCAATGCACATCATCATGATTTTTGAGGAAGGATTGTGTGAAATATTGAAGCTAAACAAAGAAAACTAAATAGCAGTATGAGGAAATCTAAGGTAGTTTAAGACTGCTGGCAGAACAGTAGTAATTATAAGCATCAGATGGAGACCACTTAAAATGGTAATTCTCCCTGATTTCAATGGGGTTGATTTAAGCTTCTCTCCATTTAGTTTGATGTTGGATATAGGCTTGCTGTACATTGCCTTTACTATGTTTAGGTAAGTGCCTTGTGTCCCTGATCTATCCAGGACTTTAAACATAAACGAATGTTGGATTTTACCCAATGCTTTTTCATCATCTAAGGAGATTATCATGTGGGCTTTTTTTTCTTTCAGTTTGTTTATATGGTGGATTACATTGATGGATTTCCATATATTGAAACACCCCTCCATACTTGAAGTGAAGTCCATTTGGTCACAGTGGATGATGTCTTTGTTATGTTCTTGGATTAGGTTTGTGAGTATATTGTTGATACAAACAACAGCCTACAGATTGGGAAAGGATCTTCACCAACCCCATAGCTGACAGAGAGCTAATATCCAGAATATATAAATAATTCAAAAAGTTAAACAGCAACAAATCAAGTAACCTAATTAAAAATGAGGTACAGAACTAAACAGAATTCTCTATAGAGGAATATTGAATGGCAGAGAAATACTTAAAGAAATGCTCAGCATCCTTAATCATCATGGAGATGCAGATCAAAATGACTCTGAGTTTCACCTTACACCCATCAGAATGGCTAAAATCAAAAACTCAAGTGACAATACATGCTGGAGAGGATGTCAAGGGGAACCCTCCTCCATTGCTGGTGGGAATGTAAACCTGTACAACCACTTTGGAAATCAATCTGGCGCTTTCTCAGACAATTAGGAATGGTGCTACCTCAAGATCCAACTATACCAGTCCTAGGCATCTATCCAAAAATGCTCAAGCATATAACAAGGACATTTGCTCAGCCATGTTCGTAGCAGCTTTATTACTAATAGCCAGAAGCTGGAAACAACCCAGATGTCTCTCAATTGAGAAATAGATACAGAAATTGTGGTACATTTACACAATAGAATACTACTCAGCAATAAAAAACAAAGAAATCATGAAATTTGCAGGCAAATGGTAGGAGCTAAAAAGATCATCCTGAGTGAGGATATCCTAGAAGCAGAAAGACACACATGGTACATACTCACTTATAAGTCGATATTAGACAAATAATATAGGATAATCACACTAAAATCTGTACACCTAAAGAAGCTAAGAAAGAGGAGGATGCTGGGTAAGATGATGAATCCTCATTCAGAAAGGCAAATGGGATAGACATCAGAAGAGGGTGACCTCTGAAAGACTCTACCCAGCAGGATAGTAAAGCAGATGCTGAGACATAGTCAATCTTTGGGAAGAGTGTAGGAAACCTTATGAAAGAAGGGGAGATAGTAAGATATGGAGGGGACAAGAGCTCCACAAGGAGAGCAGCAGAACCAAAAAATCAGGTCTTTTCTGACACTGATACTCCAACCAAGGATTGTTCATATAGATAACCTAGAACCCCTGCACAGATGTAGCCATGGCATCTCAGTATCCAAGTGGGTACCCTAGTAAGGGGAGCATGGGTTGTCTCTGACATAAACTTAGTGGCAGGCTCTTTGATCACCTCCCCCTGAGTAGGGGGGAGGGAGGCCACAGAGGAAGACAATGCAGCCAGTCCTGATATGACCTGATAGGCTAGGGTCACATGGAAGGGAAGGAGAACCTCTGCTATCAGTGGACTAGGGAAGGAGCATGGAAGGAAATGAGGGAGGGAAGGCAGGATTGGGAAGAATGAGGGAAGGGGCTACAGTTGGGAATAAATTTTAATAAACAAATAAAAGTTTAAAAACACTATAATTCTCCATCTATTTAAAAGACTCCTGAGAAGCTGGGCTTGGTGGCTCATAACTTTAATCCCAGCAGTTAGGGAGGTAGAAGCAAACAGATCTTTTTGAGTTCAAGGCCAGCCTGGTCTGCAAAGGGAGTCCAGGACAGCCAAGGATACATAGAGAAACCCTGTCTGAGGGGAAAAAAAAACAAACAAAAGAAAAAAACCTCCTAAGACTAAATCTGTAAATCTAATTTAAATAACATAATGAGAATTTGTGCCTAAATCAACTTTGTGCCATATAGTCTTAGGAGACCAAATTTAGCCACTCATTGTCAGCACAAAGAATTAAATTCACCTTTGAAAAGGAATGGGATTTAAGTCTCTCATTAGAATTATCACCATCATCTCTATATTTTCTCTTTTGTGTTATTCCTTGGGTGAAGGTTTATGTCAATGTGCAGACATTTCTACATCACTGGCTGTGACTAAGAGGAGGAATCATCAGAAAATGACTTTTGTCATCTCCTGAATTACCTAGTTTCACAGGGTGTTCTCAGAACTGGCTATAATGGACAATTGGATTTCTCATGATAAAAGTAACTGAAACCATGTGAAGTTTCTAATAAGCAGAACAATTGAATGATGATGGGCAATTCAACCATATGACTCATCTGCCCACTAGTATCTGGTGCTACTTTTCCAGTACATACGGAAATCAGCTCAACACAGCTACCAAGGGTCTTGTGGTGCCCACATCTTATGCAGTGAACATCACTCTAAAATAGAGTAATTCACAGAATTACTGAGTGTTTATTTTAGTGTTTTCTCATAACCATTTATCTTGTACTTTACTAACAAGACATCCTTAAAATGTCTTTCAATGCATTTCTTTACATCAATATTTTTGGTGATGGGATATATATGACAACTTACCTCTGAAGAACTCTGCCCCCATCAATGCCTTGAACATCATCAAACAGAAATCCCCCTGATTGCTAGATAATGTTCTCTACTATCTTAAATCTATTAGTTTTCAGGTTCACAGACCAACTTCTAATCCTAGCCGTATTTTAGAAAAAGTCACATTTATTTAAAATTTAATATCTGGTCGTAAATGATTTATTTATTTCCTGAGATGTGGGAATGAGATGAGAGCCATACTCAAGCTTGGGCTGAGCCCAGAGTGTTTCTATTTAACTATCCCTAGGCCTAGGCCTGGAACCCTCTATTTTCCATAGAATCTAATCTTCTGCCGGCCCAAACCTTAAAGGTTCAGCTTCCATCCTCTGATTGCTAACCTAGGCCTAGAATGTTTTCAGCCTCCAAAATATACTGCTGAATAAGCTCAACTCTTCCAGTTCTTCCTAAACTCTGGCTGGCTGGTTCAATTCAGCTGTTCTGGCTCAAAATTCCTCTCAAACTAACTAATTCAAACTTGCTTCACTCAGCTTCTCACTGAATTGCTCTGCTTGGAAAAACTGCCTCTGAACTCCACAAACTGAACTGTACCAAACCAACTGCACCGAACTCAACCAAAGTGAACCTGACTATGCAAACTCTACTGTATTTCTGCACTGTAGTCTGCTTCGATTCTCTTGGTGCTGCTCTTAAGTTGCTTCTCTTTCCTGACTGCTTTTGTAAGAGGTGGGCATATCCTATTCCTGACTCATTTTGTCAAATCATTCTCTGATTCGTCACTTTCTCTGTCCCTCAATTAGACATCATTGTTTGGTATTAAAGGTATGTGTGTATTTCAGCCAAATGGATTAAAAGTGTGTCATGTCTATATTCCAGTCATACAGATTAAAGGTGTGTATGTCAGCCAAAAGGATTAAAGGTGTATATTAAGGGTGTGTCTGTATTTTAGCTAGATCACACAGACCTGGGTCTTTGAATGTAATTCGTTGCCATAGTAGCCATGATGCCAGACTAAAATTCCTCTACATCTGGTGTTTGGTAATATTGCCAAAATTCTTTGAAGCATTAAGCCTATTTTAATATGATTTTCACATATACCATGGCTTTAAAGAACAGACAATAATATTGAGATGAATACAGACCAAAAATGTGTTTCCACAATATCCAAAAGAACAGGGCCAAATGACCCTTGGCTGACTCCTTCAAAACTGTGAGCCTAAGTGTCTTTCCTGTCTTTAAGTTGATTTATTTCGGGTACATTTATACAAACAGAAGTCTGACAAACAAAAACATGAGATATTCCAAGAATCAACCATGGAAGTAAATAAAATGCCTTAAATAGAGGTAAAAATCCAGGTATGGTGGTACATACTTGTAAGCCCAACACTAGAGAAAAGTGGGACAATCACAAGTTGGACATCAGCCTGGACTACACAGAAAGGTCAAGGCCAGCCTGGTTGATGTAGCTAGAATCAAACAAAAGTAAATTCATAAGTAAATAAATTGAGATATTGCTCATATTACCATTACTCGTACCAGTGGGTGAAAACATGGTTCAATACCCTTGGCATAAAAAACTTCAGTTGTCAGAGTTAGCCTATCCCTAACATTGAAATTTTTGAAAAGCAGAGGTCTACATACTCATTCCAAGGGCTTCCATGGAGCAAAGAGTGGTAGAACAGTGATCAATTCATTTGTCCTGTGACTCCATAATTAATTTTAGATGATCTTTTAACCACTTAATATTATGGGTCTTTACTGATGTTTCTCTACAGTCTGCTATAGTAAGAACATCAATGTGAAATCTGTTCTCACAACAAAAGTTTTAGCATGGAAAAATGTACTGTGGGCAAACCGATGACCAGCAATCTTGAGAACATATTTACCCTCTGCCTATTGGTTAGTAACCAGATACTTGTCCATGCCCATTCTATGGAGAACACCATTTGATTTACAGATGTGATTTCACGAGATGCATTCACATTTGCTTACTCAGTAGGTGTTTTCCTGTGCCTGAGTCACCTCACTCTACACGATATCTTCAGTGTTGTATATTGCAGAACTCCTCATGTAATCTTTTTCCTCATATGTTCATTGCATAATCTCAAGAAACATACAAAATATATTGTTTGGCCCATGACAATGGCTTTCACAAATTAAAAGGTTGCTAATAGGAAATAAGCCCCAGAGAGAGCAAGGCCAACGGGGAATTGAGAGGCTCCAGGGGAACCCAAACTGCACCACACCAGATCTGGAAATTTAAAGCAACCTGAAAGTAAGGACTGCTCCCTAATGTGCTCCTGAAAGCCAGACTGACTGGTGAGTAGTTCTGCTTTGTTTGATATTCTAGAAAGTTGGAGACACAAAGGGGATGGCAGTGTTAAGGGCCAGCTGACTTCATATTTTTTCTTCCTTTTCCTAGTTAAACATAATGTTAGAAATGTATTTATTTCTATATTGTTCTCCATGTTCTTTTTCTCTAATCCTATCCTAAGCTAACGGTAAACTTACGATTTGTTCTTTCTCTATAATCTTATGACTTACTCATCATAAACTGTTTCATTGCTTCATGGTGTGTTCTGAAAATGAGTTGGTCAAAAAACGCTTCATGACAGGTTCTGAAAAGTGGCTGGCCATAAAACCACAACATGTAACTAATTTACTAACTGAAAAAAAAATCCACTTTTGTAATCACTTATTATCTACCTCAGGCATGAGCCTGCTTGTAAAAATGCTCCCCTTATTTTAGTTAGAGCCACTTCTCTCTCCTAGTTCCAAGGAGACTGCAAGTTTGACCCAACCATAAAATAAATTTTTCCTATTTATCTATCTATTTATCTATTTATTTATTTCTTTAATCATTTTATAGCCCAATCTCATCCCCCTCCCTCCTCTCCTTCCAGTCCCACCCTCACACCTCCTCCTCCTATTTCCCACTCTCCCTCATCTCAGAGAAGGGAAGGCCCCCAAGGGGCACCAACCCACCCTGGCACCTCAAATCATAGCAGGACTAAACACATCCTCTTCCATAGGGGAGTAACAAGGCAGCCCAGCTAAAGGAAAGGGACCTAACATTGGTTACAAAGTCAGAGACAGCCCCTATGCCTATACTTGGAAACATTTTGGTGTTTGTCCCTGGCTTTTGTGTCATAACAGCCAGACAGAATCTTTAACATAGTCTTGGGGGGAAAAGGGACACCTTACTGTCCTGCTTTTCGTGTACATGGAGGTAGCTATCACATGTCTGAATTCATCTGGTCTTCTCTGATCGTGTTGTTGTACTGTCTTTTTCCACTATTCTCTGTTGCCTGTTGAATTTGTCTTTTCAAATTTTGATGCAGTTATGAGAATCAGACTAAGCACAGCCAATTTGCCTCTGAGCTGCATGCTGCAACATTTTAAAAATTTCTATAAGGCAGACTGCTATCGGCTGCCTCTATGCTGGCCCCCAACTGGATATTGCTCTGTCTCTGTCCCTCTCATTGGCTCGAGTCTCATAGATACACCAGACACTTCTCTAATCCCTACTATTTGAAATCATTTTCCCGTACTGTGCGTCTAAATGATGCCTTTTATTCCTGCTTGCTCTATCTTCCAGCTGGTCTCTGTCACTGACCATGGAGCTCTGGATGTGGCCACACCCACTCCATGCCCACATCTGGAGTGATGCAGGCACCCCCAGTGCACAGCCCTAGAGAGCACCGTAACCCTCTGTTCCTTCTGCTGATGCTCAGCTGGCCCACTCCCAGAATTTATTTCTAAGTGTTCTTTGTTCTCTGTTTGCTCTGGTCTATCCCTGTTATCACTGAATTTAGTTTTGTACAGATTAAGGTATCTTTTGGGCATGGATATTATTGATGTACTGTTTTATTCTGCTCTACTTTATTAAAAAGCTCACACTATAGCATAACTGTCTTCTGAGAGGTTTCATCCATCAGCTGATGGAAACAGATGCAGAGACTCATAGCCAAACAATAGGCCGAGTGAGAAGGTCTATGGAAGACTTGGGGGAAGGATTGTGGGACGGGTCAAGGATACCATTAGGAGAACTGCAGAGTAAAATAACCTGGGCCAATGGGGGCTCACAGAAACTGAACCATCAACCAGACAGCATGCATGGACTAGACTGATACCCACTACACATATGTAGCAGATGTGTAGCTTGGTCGTCTTACCGGTCTTCTAACAATGAGAGCAGGGGCTGTCTCTGAATCTACTGCCTGCCACTGGATCCCTTTTCCCTAGCTGGGCTGCCTTGTCAGGCCTCAGTGGCAGATGTGCTTAGTTATGCTGCTGCTGCTGCAACTTGAGGTAGCAGGGTGGGTTGATATTCACCTTCTCTGAGAAGGAGAGGAGGAAGTCAAGGGAGGGGTGGATGAGGGTTGGACTTGGAGAAGAGGAGAAAGGGGATCAGGTTGTAAAAAGATTTACTAAATGAATAAATTTAAAAAAATAGCTGGCTCTAGAAAGCCACCTGACCCTAGAACACTGATTCTCAATCTAGGGGTTGTAATGACTGTGGGGGCTGAATAACCCTTTCACAGGTGTTAAGAACCATGGCTCTGCTTAGAGAATGGCTTCTGAGTGCTTTGTGGATTGCTATCCTTGTGGGAAGTCCCCAAGGAGAACTTCCTTTATGCCTGGTAAGGACTGGTATGAGAGAATCTGCAGCCTCTGCTTTTTTTTTTCTGGATTGACCATGAGGTAATTCCTTTCTTCTAGCAAAACACTATGTATACTCTTGGTAGCCTTTTCTTTCACTATGTCTGTAACAAGTACAACAATGGCATAATAGAAATCTCTTAATAATTCTGAGGTATATTTATTAGCAATACATCACGGAATTGAGATGATGATTCCTGAAGCAACTCAAAACCCAGAAGAATTTTAAGAAAGACAAAATAGAGATCACAGTGTCTCTTGAAGCACATAATTATTCCCAGAAAAACACAAAGTATTCTGTAGCTCAAAAAAACCAGTCCTTCTAAGAATGGATCACAGAAGTTAATGAGCACACATAAACATGCAGACATTAGTTCAGAAACAAGAAACTCTTCCATGTAGGTACCAAATCCTCAGGCAGTCAGAAAACAGGAAGGGTTGGACAAGAGTTAAATAACTCTGTGACAACAGAATAAATTTATCTTAGCTATGGCTATGCAGAACAGAAATGTAGACATTGTAGGAACATATTTATGAAAGAGAAATTAGGTGTTTAAGATACAGTATACAGAACATACAGATGTGCCTAAACTATGAGGCCATGAGGCAAAATATTTACATATGGAAAATAAAGTATACGAGAGAGAAACTTGTGAAGAAACTTTCTGAGAATAATTATCTAGTTTCTTGGAACATATTTAGAGAAACAAAAATGAAAGTGTATGCTTTGTGACTTTGAAATGAAATAAATATGGAGAGGCTTGTGCTTTTCAGGGCCATTTTCTTAACAGAAAGCTGGTGGTCATGTTCTTCATTGTACTGACACCATATCTCTATCCTTAGGGTCCTAGAACCCACCAGAGCAAGACTATAGCAACAAGAGTCTCATATTAAATACCCTGCATGTCAGATATTTACATTAAAATTCATAATAGTAGCAACATTACAATTATGAAGTAGCAATAAAAGTAAAATTTTGTGATTGGGGGTCATACAACATATTAAACAGTTACAGCATTAGGGACATTGAGAACCACTACTCCAGGATGAAAAGAAAAGAAAATAAAACAAAAACAGTCCAAGAAAAAACAGTATGTGCTTTAAATGACAAAAATATAAACTTTTCATAGCTTACAATTCGTAAGCTTATTGAATATAATTAAACATCTATTAAAAACCAAGAGCCTGATGTCGACACTTTCTGATTCTCTGTAGATGTCTGGTTTTTATACATTTCTGTTTAATAGCCTCAAGGTATTTGATATTTTATTATCCTGCAACTTGATAACTTTATAAGAAAAAAATTTAATTAAGCTTTTTAAGTTGTATGCCTCCAATCTTGTGTATATCTGCAGATATATACAAGCTGGCTATAAAATAAAACCTCTTTAAAATACTTCAG